TGCATAAACGTGTCCGTCCGTACCCAGAGAAAATTTTGTCTTCTGAATAGAGCTGGTAGAGGTTAGTTCATGCTCTTTTTTTTCTTTCATAATCCTTTCTAATCTCATGTTGTCCAGATGCAAATGAGTTCAGTAACTCGAGCTAGAACTAGTTAATTTTTTTTAAAAAAACTCAGGAGAGACTTTGTACCTCATCCTCCTTCATCGGAAATAAAAAGTAGGATGTATTGGAATACGTTTTGACTACAAGTGGACAAAGACTCGCAGCAATCAGTTCTTGTTGAATATCCTAAGGAGCTCTGAACATACATGCTTCTGAGCAAGGAAACTACTACATGGGTACAAGGGTACTGTTCAACAATCTAGGTGCTTGTTTTTTATACTGGCTTGGATATAATTTATTATGAGTGGTTATCGGAATGTTCATTAGCTAGTAAATATTCCAAGAGATGTTATATTATACTATTTGTCATTCTTCACTAGGATGTTAAATCAGCGAGAATTACAGGCAGTTCATGTGGCAATGTTTTCGACATTCTATGCAACACCTTCCCCACAGTTTTTCAGATATGTATTTAGATCCTTCATAGTTGTAAACTTCCGGTTTTATTTGAATCATTTTTTTGTAGTTTGTTTCCTCAGTTAGAGAAAATAAACAGAACTCCACTCCCGCGCGCGCGATCTACTGTTTAGCGCCAAACAGTTCCCAAGATTTATTCCTAAACGTTAACTGATATACATTGGATATCTGGTTGTATTATGCTGCAGATGTGTTTTGAATCAGTCTTGGTGCTATTAGTTACGATTGACCCATACCTTATATCTTAAGTGTATCTATAGAAAGACGTTTTTTGAAGGCTTGAGAGTGATCTTTTCTTCCATTACTATCTGGCCAATTGCTTCCCCATGTAGGAGCGAATTTCTTAGAATTTTGATAGCGTTAACTGCATTATCATGATGTTTCTTTAATCAATCTTGGCACTGGTTGGTACTACTAGCTCATGTCATATATTTCTAAATGTACGGAGTTTTTTTAGAGGCTCGAGAGTTTTCTTGGTATATATCGAATGAATGTCTAGCTATAGTCGTCCTGCTAATTTTTCTTAAATCGTTCTTATCAGATGTGAGAACGAGTTGATCACTCCTCCAGCTCGAGTACTGTTCGGTGTTAGTGAACCCACCAACTAGGAACTAGGGCACCTGAAAGTCTTATATCCTTCTCAGTTGAACCTTCGAAAGGAGTTCCTTTGTCAATGCAGTATTGCGTTTATCGTTTTTCCCATTGAGCTGATCGTCTATATTCTACTTTGTCATTTCCTTCACAAGCATGTTTGCAGTAATTACATTGTTATCCCAATCACTTCTACGATTGGCATTGGGTATCCTGCGAAGTGGTTGGACGAACCACGATTATTTATCATGATGTTAAAGGTTTTGTAAGAACATTGATAGAATTAAATGATTTATTTTAGAAGATACAATGGATACACAGGACGAGGATTCCCCTCTATTGTACTCGGAGGCCACAGAGGGCCAAGTATATTAGGGGAAGAGGAGGGGAAGGTGCTATCACCTTCTTCTCCTACAGAGGAGGAGGGAATTCGTTTCCTCCTCCTGAGGGGTTGGGGGGATTCGAAGATCCCCCAAAAGAGGAGGGAGAACTCTCTATCCCTCTCTTAAAGTGGGTAAGAGGGGTTCTCCTTCCTCATGGCGGGGGACGGGATTACTCAATCTGGACAGGCGGGCATCGCCATTTTTTTCAAAACCTGAAACAGAATAATACTCTTCCTTTTTCTTCCCCGAAGGAGAGCTATTCTCGCGGGGACCCCGAAAATGACGATTTTTGTCGACATCGTTAAAAAACGACGTCGACAAAAATCGCCATTTTCGGGGTCCCCGCGAGAAGCCCTCCTTCCTGCGTCCCCCCAGCTGCTTTCCCCAAGCAACAACAAAACGTCTGAAGCTTATGAGTCATATTACTGATAACAACAGAAGTCTTATTGAGCATCAGGGAGCCGAGGAGACGGCCCCTAAGGAACCTAGACCAGGCCGC